CCGAGAGGAAAAAAAAAAGGCAAAGCGTTCCTTATTTATAAAGTGACACTGATGTGAGGTAATGTTTTCTCGCCGTTAATTAAGTTTGCTTGAAGTGAAGTAGAGCCAGCCAGTCTACCGTAGCGCAGTGGCCTTTTAAACAAAATCGCTGTTGCAGGCTGCTAATGTGAAAATTGGGCCTGTTGGCGGGTACATGTTATAATAACAGCTACTGAGGGGTGAATGTTACATTTCAGCATCATGGATCGTGTTTATTATGATAAAAAAAAAATGTCTTTTTTCTGAGTCTACAACATCCAAAGCTGAACGCCGGGTTAAAAACACATTTAAATGGCGTAAACTGGTGAAACTTCAAGAATGGGCAAGGTTGGGGATATTACAAACAATGGTTAAGAAGTGTCTTAGGCCCCGTTCACACTGAGCGATTTTTCGCGCGGTAATTCCCGCGATATCGCGGCTATTTACCGCGCGATATCGCTCTCCAATGCTTGGCAATGGGGCAAAGGGTCCTGCTGTCGCGGGTCGTGCGTCGCTACAGCAGGACCCTTTTTGGAGCGGATTTTGCCGCTATTCTAGCTTGCTCAAGGCAAGTATTTGCGCGATATCGCGCGACAAATCGCAAATGCAAATCGCGCGACAAACGTGCGATTTGCGAATCGCGCAGTGTGAATGGGGCCTTAAAAGTAGTGTGGAGGGTATGGGGGTGGAGGGTATATCCCACTACTTTCTCCCTCTGCTGCTCTCTACATTACATAATGCATCAGTCAGAATTACGGAGGAAGTGAGCCTCTGCTGGCTGTTTGATTACGGTGATTGGCTGAGCTGTCACTATAATCAAACAACGGTCTTCACTGACAGAGGTCTGAATAAGACACAATTTAACCAGAGAGGCACCCACTGGTCCTCATCCTTGGGACCCTGACTGGGCTGCTGTTGCAGAAGTGGCCTGTAAACTGCATTAGTGACAGTGAGGCTGAAGTTCAGCTTCAAGATGATCATATTCACACATACTGTACTTTATAAGGAAAGAAAAAATTAAAACTTGTACCTTCTCTTTAACGAAACACAGTCCAAATATGTTCTTTTCATGTTTGAATTAACATGCTGTATAAGTCTCCTTTCACCACGTGTGGTGTATCAGTCTCCTCGCTGGGCTACTATGCATCCTAATGAAATTGCGGGGTTATTTAACACATGTGCGTGTCACTCTGCTCATAATTATTATTAATGGCCTTACAGTGGCACAGAGCAGCACATATGTTACTGGAGTGTATTGGATTATGTGCGGAAACTAATCACATTACAGGCATATGCCTAGTATGTAAGGTGCACATGTTCCAGGAATTTGGTGCAATTGTCACTTAAGTGGTTTGATAGGGAAATCTAAATTGAAAAGTTAATAATAATCAGAAGGGCAGCTAACAGCGTACATAACTGGCTCTGGTGTTTAATTAAAAATGTGCAACATGTAACACAGGGGCCTAACTAGAAATGACAGGGCCCCATAGAAAAATGTTGTATGGGGGCCTGTGATTTCTAGTAATGCCCTTGCAGAGCCCACCTGAGATCCCAAACAGCCCACCTGAGAGTGACCCTGCAGAGCCCACCATAGACTGTCTATGGTGGGCTCTGCAGGGTCTCGGGTGGGCAGCATACCTCTTACCTGTCAGCCCCGATCCACTCCCTGTGCCCCAGGCCCCATAGCGGCCGCCTGGGTTGCTATGGCGATTGTTACGCCACTGATGTAACATGGACTTAATACGGTTCCACTTGACAACGGCACTGGGCATAAGACCAGGGCTAGCAACAATTTAAAATGTACCTACACCCCCGGTCTATATGAGCAAATAGGAAATGGAATTAAAACGCAAACTTACTCCTGATGAAACAAATGTAATATTATCCTTAGCGACCTCGTCCTCTATTGATGTCCCCATGTTAGAGACCAATTATAAATGAATATCCAGATGGTATAATGTCCCTGCTAAAATACATAAATTCAATACTCATTTTGATCCTAGCTGCTGGCGGTGATGAGGATCTCCAGGTACTTTCAAACACATATGGTGGGATTGTCCTTTGATTAAACCCCTCATTTCTTTTATTCACAAAGTATGTGGCATGCGATTACCCTTAGACCAGGGATAGCAAACCTCCAGCTGTGGTGAGACTACAAATCCCATGATGCATCTCTCTTTGGGAGACATGTCCGTGGCTGAGAGAAGATTTGCGATTTGTAGTTCCACCACAGCTGCAGGGCCGGAGGTTTGCTACCCCTGTCTTAAACACTCGGATCTGCCTATTTCATCTTACCTCCTACTAGCCTAGTAAATATAGGAAATCTTTGGTTTCCTTTTTGCTTAAAGGAGAACTGTGGGGTCAGGGCTTTCCCCCATAGTTCTCCTTAGGGTAACGGGAGGACACAAACTAGCGTCCTCCCGTTACCCTAAGCTCAGTATACCGCGAGCTACAGCTCACGGTATACTGAGACGCCGCAGCCGGAGCGGATCCCGACATCGATGTCGAGATCCGCCCAGCTGCGTGAGTGACAGCTGGCTCTGCCTATCTAGAGGCAGAGCCAGCTGTACCTGCCCCCTCCCCTGTACGTTCCGCCAGTCAGCGCTGGCGGATCGGAGCGGGGAGGGGGGGATCCAGCTCCTCCACTGTCACGGCAGAGAGCCGTGACGGGATCGAGAGGTGAGCGAACACCGGTATGTGTTCGCTCACCTCCCCATCTACTGAGCCGACCTGTGAAAAGCACTCACCTCATAGTTCTCCTTTAACACTGCTAAGTTACTAATACCCTGATACTGGAGGACAACTCGAATACCCTCCAACTGCTTTATAAAATTAGACTTCTGGAAGAATCGTATTCTAGTCGGGATGAGTATACCTCTTTCTATAAAATCCGGGCAAGCTGGTTGCACTTTAAAGGGCTTCTAAACCCTCGGTTTTTTTTTTGCATATAAAAGTGTTTTTTTTTAAAAACAAAAACCGATTTAACAGCGGTTTAAACTTGCCGCGTCTTCGCTGCACGCTCCCTTCCGAAAATCCAAAACTGCTCGGGCAGCCGCAATGCATCTTGGGTCGGGCGCATGCACAGTTCGGATTTTCGGCCGGGAGACACGATAAGACGCAAGGTAAATCTATGGACGGCGTGCACCCGCATGCAGACACCGTGGGACAGGAAATGCCGGCAAGCTCAGAGGAGTCAGCGTTGGATCGGAGAGCCGCCGCACCGCTGGAGGGACAGATGAAAACATCAGGAAAGAAGAAGAAGATCGGATTAAGAGGCATCATTTAAGGTAAGTGCTAACATTAACAATGGGGGGGGGGGATTTTTAACTTTAATGTCACTTTATGGCCTAAGATTCATACTGTGTTAACTTATCGATTCAATGAATTTTCATTTACTTTTAAATTGTCTCATAATATGCAATACATCTTATAGCTCTCACATATTTAATGGGTAACATCCATGGACTTTATGATTTGAATAAGCTTGAATATCATAACCAGAGTTTGTCATTCCCCTGTCCAATTGTCTTCCTTCCCTTTTGTTCCAATCCTTAATATTTTTCTTATATTATTGGACATGAGTGTTCTTATGTCATACATGCCTTTCTCAATAATTGTTCAATAGTCTTTGAATATCTTTATGTGAGTTATGTTCTGTTTATTCATTATTACTCATGTTACCACCAAATAAAGCACCCCTCGACATTTTAGTCTCCGCAGTCATTGTTTTAAAATGCTTGTTGAAAATGCTTTTCCAGCCAAAAACCTTTTTGATCGAGCCTTTCTCAAAAAATGTTTGCTACATAGTAAGCCTTAAAATAATTATAAGGGCTTGGGGAACCCCTGTTAAAATGATTGTATCCACAGGTAATGGCACAGCAGTGTAATCAGTAAGTTATAAATATAATAATTAGGATTAGGAATGTGGCGTACACAGGACACTGAGTCTGGATCCCCCTTACATCGGTGGTCAGTAGAGAAGAACCCCTTACATTGGTGCTCAGTGGAGAAGAACCCCATGCAGTGTTGGTCAGTGGAGAAGAAAGCCTCACATTGGTGGACAGTAGAGAAGGGCCCCCTTACATTAATGGTCAGTGAAGAAGAACCCCTTACTTTGTTGGTCAGTGGAGAAGGGCCTTCTACATTGGTGGTCAGTTGAGAAGTACCCCCTTATATTGGTGGTCAATGGAGAAGAATCCCTTACTTTGTTGGTCAGCAGGGAAGGGCCTTCTACATTGGTGGTGAATGGAGAAATGCCACATTACTTAAGCGGTGAACGTGGTGCACCATTACATTAATGATCACTGTAGAAATACGTCTAACACTGGCCGTAGAAAGGTATCCCATTTTATAAGTAGTCAGTGTAGAAAAGTTTTGCTTCCTAAGGTGGTGGTGATGGGGGTTCTTGGTGACATTGACATCAGTGCCAAAAGTACAGTTCCTGTCATTTTTTTCTTTGTTGATTATTGCATATCCAGGCCTAATGGCAAGTTCTTCAACTGGGTGGAACCTAGTGGGACCAGCCCCTCCCTGTGCTATGTTCCACCCCTGCCATTCAATTGTCAAATGCTGGAGTCACCACTGAAATACTGACATTTGATGGTTACATAACTGGGATCGAGTGGATAGTGCCAGAAGCAGCTTTAATCCCAGCCTATGAACTTCTCTCTCCTCCTGCTCTTCAGTTTTGCGGTGTTAGTGCCAGAAGCAGCTTTAATCCCACCCTTTGAACTTCTCTCTCCTCCTGCTCTTCAGTTCTGCAGAGTGCATACCATTAAACTAATTTCAGCTTCCAATTGCATTTGCGGTGTCTCCATGTAATCATAGATTTCAGGTATTTTACACTAAAGGATGTTTTATATAACCATTTGGAGCTCATTTTTAATATTACTTTTTTTTTTACATTTTCAGAAACATCACTGATTCCTCTCTTCAAAAGTTGAGGACCAATTCTGTTCAATGTTAAGGAGAAGGACCGTGCCATGGATGTGAAAGAGAGGAAACCGTACCGATCCCTAACCAGGAGGCGCGATACTGAACGCCGATACACGAGTTCCTCGGCAGAAAGTGAAGAGAACAAGATACCCCAAAAATCTTACAGCTCCAGCGAGACTTTAAAAGCCTACGACCAAGACTCTAGACTGTGCTACAGCAATCGAGTGAAAGACATGGTCCACCCAGAAGTCGATGAGTTCTGCCGATCTGGTAAGTGCCGACAACTGAGCTTCCTACAGCGTATGTAGCTAAAACATCTTTTTTAGTTTTGGATAGAGTTGGGAATGGTTAAGATCCCCTTTAAGGGTTTTTTTTATGTTTGTGTTGCATCTGGAAGATTTTCTGACACCAAGATTTCCTCAGGAACAGCCATAAAAAAGGGAAATCTCTAAAAGCAAGGGCTATTCTCCTCATTGGCAGTGGTCATGAGAACATACAGCTTTGGCTCAAAAACCTTGGCTTTCCCATCACTTTCTGCACTGGAGACAATGGTCAACAGGACCAATAGAGAAGATGAATCTCCAAACAGCAATAAAAACATTAAACGGTTTCTATGGTCAAAAACTTAAAATAAGTATTTCTATATTGATTTTCTATCAGTTCTATCCTAATAACCAGATCCATCTAGAAGTTTATAATCTTACTTACTGAAGATGCCCATTGGATGGACTTCCTCAATGCACTGACACCATTTCACTCAGCCCGGTGAATATGCAATTCCTTGTGTCACCACTGTTAGGGGCGTCCCGAGGAGCGTAGAAGGGGTGACACCCAGCCGTGACGTCATCGCGCGCGGTCATCTTATTGACGCCTTCCGGTGGCCATCTTGGTTATGGACGCCAGCAGAGAGAGGAGGAGACGTTCAACTGGATGAGGTATGCCACCGGGTCCCCTCCTCTCTCCTGACACTGTTGGGCACTCGGTCCATGACCGAGTGCCGAACTTTTTATAGGGGGTGACACCAAAATGACTGCCAGTCATTTTGGTGTCACCCCTCTAATGGTGGCACCCGGGTGCGAGACGCACCACCGCACCCCCCTTGCGACACCACTGACCACTGTCACAGAGCCTGCCTTCTGAACTACAACTCAACGTCTGAACAATGTAACATCATCATTGCTTGCTGGAAGCTGCAGTACATAGTAGACATGTAAGCTGCAGAGAAATTCGGTTCGGTCCGGATATTTTGTTTTTTGGGGACTCAGGATTCAGATGCGGAATTCAATTTTGTTCAGATTCGGATGAAATCCAAATTTAGTTAGTTTTGGATGAGTTTGCAAATATTCATTGCGAATACCACAGAAGACCATATACAGATATTAACCCCTTCATGACTGAAGTGTACGTCGTCAGTCACGAAGGGGTTAATACTAAAGCTGAGGCTCCCAGACCCGAATGGCATTTGAGAGCTCCCGAATGCAATTCCGAAATTCGGATCCCGAATGTAATGCGGGTCTAGGAGCCTCAGTTTTAGTATTATATGTATATACTGTATATGGCTTCCATGTTGCCGTAACGAAAATTTGAGTTCAGACTCATTCAGATGCATTAAACCGAAAAACATCTGATTGGCCATAAAAGTCACATGTCCCATTCAGTTTTGTTTTTGAACGAAATTCAGATTCAGACAAATTCGAATGAATTTGGATTCAGAAATTCGGATGTGTCCAATTGTTTGAATTTCGGAAAATTTGTCCGAATTTTGATTCGGAACGAAACGAATCGCACATGTCTAGTACATAGCCTTAACCGCCATCCACACTTGTCTGTTGGGGGAACATGCACAAAAATGATCCTTAATGGCACAACAAACATGCCTGCCAATGCACGAGCATTGTAGCTCACCAAAACACAAAAGCATAATGCGTTTTAGGCACATTTAAAAAAAAAAGGTGCATGCACTTCTTTCCTTGGTTCAGTTTTCATGTGTTGAGCAGCCCATTCATTTTAATGAGACGTACCCTCTGCATGTAAAAAGTGCATACATGTGTGCAAGCTATCGCACATGCACAGGTGTGAACCAGGGCTTAGTGAGCCCTCATCTTGAATATGCAGATTTGAAAACAAATTTACAAAAAGAATGTAATAAAACTGGAGAGAGTGCAGACAAGGACAGCAACATTTATATGAGGTTAGCTGAGCTGAATAGAGGCAATTAGGGGAGATATAATTATCTGCTATTGTCTCTAAAAGTTTCTAAGCCACTGATCTACAAAAAAAGGATGCAGCAGAGCTCAGAGCTCCCAATGAAAGCTCATGTGATTAACTCTGCCAACCTTATACATAGTCTATTGCTTTCAGTCCAAGTACAGGCACCCGAACCGCATGGATGTGCAGGTTTGGAAATGACCACGTGTAATTGTGTGCAGCCGCATCCAGATGGAAAAACAGGCCGCTGCATGCATTTATATGCAGCACCTGTCCCTTCCGGGATCGGGTCATTTTATGGGCGGGCATGCTGTATAGACATGGACGCCCATCTGAATGAGCCCTTAAAGTGCAGTCATAAAGCTGAACCCCAGGCAGATATAAAAGACACAAATGAATGCAGCTCTGTATTTATTAATACAGCATTAAACTTATATTAAATTCAATTAGTGAAAAGTTCTTGATGAAATGTATTTGTACTCGGCTCTGGAAATAATTATATCGGTGGATCCCTTTAAACCTATGGGCAGCACAGTGACCTGCAGCATTGTGGGTCTCCGGTTCGAATCCCAGTCAGGACGTTATCTGCAAGGAGTTTGCATGTTCTCGTTGTGCTTGCATAGGTTTCCTCCCACACTCAAAAGACATACTGGTGGGTCGATTGGCTCCTGTCTAAATTGGCCAAGTATGCATGTGAGATAGAGACCTTAGATTGTAAGCTCCTTGAGGGCAGGGACTGATGTGAATGTGCAGTATGTACAGCACCACATAAATTGTGAGTGCCATATAAATACCTGTAATAATAACTCTGAGTTATTTCAGCAGAGGGAGGCCAATTTCAATTAACACAATGCTACGTGCTATCTATAGAGGACATGTTTAAAAGCGGTCATAAAAATAAATATTATTTGTTCATCATTCCCAATAAATCTCTCACCTCCTTTACTACCAGTTTATTGTACTCGGGAGTCATCACAAGTTATGTAACTTATAAGCAATCTTACCAATATATTGATCATGTCACTTGAGAATTAAAAATATTAAAATATCATTGATTCTGACCTCCGGCCTTCCCTTCAGTCTTATATCTGACCTCCGGCCTCCCCTTCAGTCTTCTATCTGACCTCCGTCCTCCCCTTCAGTCTTCTATCTGACCTCCTTCCCCTTCAGTCTTATATCTGACCTCCTTCCCCTTCAGTCATATATCTGACCTCCGGCCTTCCCTTCAGTCTTATATCTGACCTCCGGCCTTCCCTTCAGTCTTATATCTGACCTCCTTCCCCTTCGGTCTTGCACAGTTGAACCGGCTCCTCTCCTGGACTGAAATGGCTTCCTCTGATTTCACTGCCCGCTGTGAGCTTCTCACAATGTGCATTAGAAGCTGCAGCAAGTCAGAGAGAGCCTACCTCATTTCCTGGCATCTAGCATTTTCCTTCCCAGCCTGACTGTCCCTGACCTGTCCCTTTCAATCATTGGATTTCCATTCTTTCAATTTTATAGACTCAGCATCACACGTTGGTGTTACCTAGAATTGTCTGCATGCCAATGCAGTCTACCTAGGAGCACCCACTGCTTCAGAGTAGTGTTCACCCATCAAGGCATTTTGATATTTGCATAACTCCTCCCAAGAGCCAACCTACTGCTTGCATTAGGGCTGAGGGCTCTTGAGAGGAATACTGAATAGGGTTATCACCTGTCTGGGACTGACCCAGGCAGTCTGGGTTTAGAAGGCTGTGTCCGGGTTACATAGCAGCTGACACCCGGACACAACATGTCAGGCAGACAGGGGCATCCAAAATTAAGGTAGGGGCTACTGGCCCCCCACTGAAAAATAGACTTGGCTGTGATATTTACATATGAATGGGTGGCTCAATTTACATATGAATAAGCAACAACGTATTCATATGTAAATAACATGGTTAATTGATATGCAAATTTGCCACCTTCACCCCACCTGAGAGGCCGCATAGCCCACCTGAGAGTTTGCACAGACTACCTGAGAGCCCACAGAGTCTCCTTGAGAGTGCGCACAGGGCACTTGAGACCCTGGAGACATCAGGCTGCCACCCAGGAGCAACACAGAGTATGTAGCTTCATATAACTTTGTATTGCTGTATAATGTATTGCTGGGACTTGTAGTCTTCTATAGCTGGTCTCTCTCCTCTATATTCTCCCCAAAAAAAGAACAAAAAATGCTGCATGTGGTGTTTTCAGGAAGCTATGTACAGAACCTTCCAGCCCCTTCTACCAACAAGATTTGAGGACAGAAAGGTTAACTGTATTAGCATGTTGATGGGTGGGGCAGGGAAGGTAACATATAAGAAGGTTAAACTTCAGCTTTAAATCTAGTATAACTCAGCTTTTCATAGAAGATGGTACTGATGAGGATAAAGGACCAATGATCAGCAATCAAAGTGTATCCATAGTCAATCATTTTTGTTTTGGTAGAGTAAGAAATGGTTTAAAACCTTGTCAGGTTTGTTATGCAACTCTTTACCATTTTGGGAGACTTCCCTTCATTTCCTGCTTGCAGATACAACAGGAAGTGAGAGAAAAATCTCTCTTAGATGGTTGTACCCCAAACAGGTAACCACATCAAAGGATGTTTCTCACTTCCTGCTGATAGGGTACATGTTTATATAACTAAGGCCCAAATGCCTCACCTTTCCCCTGTCCTTGCCTCCTGATCTAAAGTACACAGTATTAGGACCTGTGCCAATGGGTATTTGTTTGCTTCATGTGGGTTCTGCATTCCCATACAAGTCTAAGGGAATGTAAAATTAGCATGAAGCAGGTCAGTTGCAGGTCCGGAGGAAGTCAACTGCAGGTCAAATGCACCTGTCAATGAATTCTGAATGATATGGGAAGCGTCTCAAACTGATGCCATCAGCACAGGCCTTAAGGCCTTGTTCACACCAAATAGAGAGCAGATCCGGTTAGGTTTCTGCACACGCACGCTAGTCTTTTAGATGCGTTTTTGATGCATTTTTGACGTGGCAAAAAAACTTTTTTTTTTACGTTTAAAATGGGCTTTCAGTGCGTTCCAGGCATTTGCATGCATT